GGGGGGGGGGGGGGGGGGGGGGGGCTGCGATAGTCACAAGTGTGAAAACAGGTCCTGAGTCACTTTTTTCAGTGCTGTTGTAATAGTCACTAAATGAAATCTGTAAGTCGAGGACTGCCTGTAGAGCTGGGCAATCGGTTTCTTCCCTGCTCGGCGCTGAGTGTCTCCCCCCCCCCCCAACTGTGCAGGAGTTTATTCTTCATTCGCCTGACTTCGAAGCCGCCAAGTTCTGGGTTGGCAACATGGGGAAGACCGCCACGCACGCCGTGGTCTACGCCCAGCTCCACACGCCCGACGGCCAGTGCCAGGGGCTGCATTCCTTTGTGGTGCAGGTGAGGGACGCGCTCTGGCAGCAGCTCTGCTTTTCCTTCACACTGTGATTGATGCGCTCGGCGGGGCACAACGTCCCATTTTGCGGCATCCTAACAGATCCCAGGTGGGGGGGAGGATTCCTTTGGTGCCTTCGGTCAGGGTGGCAGCCCTGCGATTTTCTTGGGAAGATTTTGGAAATGGCTTGCCGTTGCCGCCTTCTCCCGCGGGCTGAGTGTGGGCAGCCAGCCCAAGGTCACCAAGCTGGTTTCATGCCTAAAGCAGGACTAGAACTCGTGATCTCCCAGTTTCTAGCCTGGTGCCTTAACCACAACACAAACTGGCATTCTTGATGCAGTCAGAACATGCGAAACCTGGCATGTTTTCATTGCTTGCTGTCTAAGCCGGCCTCAGTCACCACTGAAGCCGAGGAGAACCGGGATGGTGAGGTGTTGTTTTGTAGATCAGATGAAACCCAGGTGTGATGGGTTGTTCACATATAATTTTAGGTTTTTATGGCCACTCACTCATGCATGATTCTGGGCAACTCGGGTACTCCCAGGCTCAAGTTCACCCCAGGCCGTGAAAGGGGACTGGAGGACGGACGTTCCTCTCATACTGTACAGTAGAACAGGAATGTCTTGTGACCCCAGTGGGAGTCCCCCTGGAGGGGAGGGGAGAGTCCCAGGCGGGTGATGGCCCCGGTGCCCCTCCCCAACTTCTTTGTCATTTCCTTGTTTCAGAACCCTGGAGAGCTCCTTCCCCTGAGCTTCACCCTCTTTGCCTGGCTGTGTGATGTAATTTCTCAATCATCCAGGTCACGGTTGTCCCAAAGGTGCTTTTTCCAAAACTGAAAAAGCCTCTTGGATGAGAAGTGAAACCTGTTCAAAGAAAAAAAACAACAAGAAAGTCCACTTTCCTTTTGGAAAAAGCACCTTTGAGATGATAACGACATCAGTGAAACGAACATCTTCAGCACCTTAATCTAAACAAAAAGGGTTCCCGTAAATGCATTTACTGATCTGGATGTGCCTCTGTGCTTACAGATTCGGGATCCGAAAACCTTGCTTCCCATGCCAGGCGTCATGGTTGGTGACATAGGAAGGAAACTTGGGCAGAATGGCTTAGATAACGGGTAAGTGCCCTCAGGAAGCCACCATTTCCACTCCGGGTGAGGGTTCAGGCTCAGGCACCAAGTGAGAAGCCGGGAGTTGTGCTGTTCTGGCTGAGGGTTGCTTTGTGTGTACGCTGAGCCCCCCTTCAACCCTCTCTTGAAATCTGCCAGGTTTGCCATGTTTCACCAAGTGAGGGTCCCCAAAGAGAATTTGTTGAGCCGAACGGGCGATGTCACTGCTGAGGGGAAATACACAAGCGCCTTCAAGGTAGGAACTCTGCTTCATATCAGGAGCCTCTCTCTTTCCTCTCTCTCTGTTTTTTTTTTTAATCCCACCTTTATTAGTTTTTACAGACAGTTCAAGGTGTTGAACAGACCTCATACCCCTTCCTTCCTCCTCCTGTTTTCCCCACAACAATAACCCCGTGGGGTGGGCTGGATTGAGAGACGGGGACTGGCCCAAAGTCACGAAGGCCTGACGGAGGACTAGAACTCCCCCCCTCCTGGTCTCTAGCCCGGAGCCTTCCCCACTAGGCTACATTGGCTCTCTGAAGCTGGATTCCTTTCCCTCACCTGCTGGTTTGCCAGCAGAGTTGCCGTCGCACGGGAGGACCCGAGCTCCCTGCTGGGCTAAGCAGGGCGTGTCACCGCTTCCTTGGGGCGGGGCGGGTTGTGTCTCCTCAGGATCACAAGCAGCGCTTGGGGGCTTCGCTGGGCTCCTTGTCCGCCGGGAGAGTTATGATCATCGCCATGTGTGTGGCCAATCTGAAGCTGGCCGTGTCGATAGCCATTCGCTTCTCCGCCACCCGGCGCCAGTTTGGGCCGACCGAGGCCGAGGAGGTTCCCGTCCTGGAATACCAGATGCAGGTGAGAGCAGCCCGGCCAGCGGGAGTTGCCTCAAGGTCAGGCCTGGTTCTTGGCAGGTGATGGCTCGCACTGGGCAGGGAGCCTCGCCAGGCTGTGATTCAGTTGAGAATTCTGGTCATAAGCCATTACAGTCATAGGTACTGAGGCGGCCGCTTGACCAGAAGGAATTTTCCGGCCTTTTTCATGGTTAAGTGAACATGTCGGTCAATAAGCCAGCATCTTTCTTTGAACCCGAGGTGGTGTCTTCCTATCCTCCCGTCACTGGCCTGGGAGAACCTGGGGAAACGGGGCCGCCCCTGGACGGGGGGGAGCAGAAACGCGAATGGAATCCGTGGGGTTGTACGCTGCGTGGGGGGAAGGCGCGTTCCGCTTCATCTCAGAGTTTGTGAGGAAAACTGCTTGAAAGGAGGTGCCCCCCCTCACCCAGCTCACCTGCCCGTCTTTCGATTGCAGCAGTGGCGCCTGCTCCCTTACCTGGCGGCCACCTACGCCTGGGACTTCTTCTCCCGCTCCCTCTTCCTCAGGTTCATGGAGTTCCACATAAGGCTGCTGATAAACGACAAGAGCGCCCAGCAGGTGGGGGAGTCTCCTTCCACAGCAGGTTTCGTGGCCCCCCTGAAAGATCCCCTTTCGATCTCTGGGCCCGGGGCAGGCT